TTTGTCTAACAATTTTCTATTGGTTAAAATAATTTATCTTTATTCAATAAAAACCGCGCGAAAAATTGAAATATTGTTACATTAATACAATTTATTAAATATAATTAAATTGTGATTTTGTGTCACATCAAAATTTTACAAAAAAAAAAGTTTTACATATAATTTATTTTACATATAATTTAAAAATATAATAATAATAAAGTATTAAAATTAATTTAAGTTAAAATTAACTAAAATTAGAAAATCAAAATGTAAAAAATTATTAAATCTAAAATAATTAATATAAAAAAAAAGAAATTTATGTTTTTAACTATCGTAAATTAGATAGATTTATTTATTATTATAATTATAATAATTAAATAAAAAAAAATCTATTTTTTAAAAAGATATTTCAAAAGACACAAAATTCCATAGGACATTATATCTATTTTGTACCTGGTCTATGATGCTATCATAGTTCTTATTGACTTATTATTATTTATTATTTACTTATGTAAAATTTAAATATGTATATAAGTATATACTTATTTTGCTGTTCTGAATCATCTATAATAAAGTGATAATTAGATTATGTGAAATGTTATGTCTATTTTTGTACATAAAAGAAAATTTATGAATGACACGTGGATTTATTAAGGTTATATATGTATATATGTATATATATATATGGTATATAACAACATATTTCATGAAACTTAATTCATATATTTATTAAACATTATGAATTATAAATATTAATAAAAATCAATATGAAATTTTATACCAATTCAGTAAAATCTTGTACTGCTCGTATTGGGAAGTTAACAGAATTTAATAGAATTCCCAATAGTAATTTTGAAACTCCTCTTGTTCTTGTTTATACAAAGGTAAAGTTATGATTCGATAAATAACGAAATAAAAATATTTTATTTAAAATTTTATTATTAGGGAGGCAGTGTACCACATTTAACTAAAGATGTTTTCAAAATGGTTACTTCAGATCTACAAATGTTATCCGTTTCCCTTACTTCTACATATTCAATGTTAGAATCAGTAAAGGATAGTAATATTAATTTTGCAAATTTTGTGGGAATGAAGGTATATTATGTCATAAATTTTCAATAATATTCCATTTATATTTCATTCATATTCATAAAATTTAAATAATAAATATTTTGTTTTTTAGGAATATATCAATATTCTTACTTTGCATGATCCAGCTTATGCTACACCTTCAGGTTTTCAAGAAATGGATTTCACTCCTATATGGACTAGAAAAGGAAAATATAAATTAACTCCCAAGGAATATATGGATGTAATCGAAGCATTTAAACCAGATGTGTATGTTGCCTTGTATGATGGAGATACCAAAATTAATAGTAGTAGAAAAAGATTATCAAATGCTATACGACGTACAACAACATTCTTTGAAAAATGTTTTTCTATACATTCTTCATCTGAAACATTAAAATCTTCAGAAATATTAGGTGTAATTGAAGGTGGTTATGATAAAGAAGCTAGAGCATGGTCAATAGAGTTTTTAAAAGATAAACCTTTAATAGGATATGTGATTGATGGATTGCATAATAATGGATCAGATGTAAAGGATATATCAACAGAACAAATTAAAGAAATAGTGGAATATACAGTTGTGAGTAATAATATCGCTTTTCTGTATATCTGCATTTTTTTTTTATTAAATGTATTAATTACAGAATCTTCTACCTGCTGAAAAACTTAAAGTATCAATGGGATGCTGGAATCCTCTTACAGTATTAGATCTTGTTGAATTAGGTATTGATGTATTTGATACATCATATCCTTATATAATTACTGAAAATTTAGAAGCTTTAACTTTCTTATGTGATCATCATGATTGTAATAATATAGGACATGTAATATCATTTACAGAAGAAAGGTAATATCAAACAGAAATTATAAAAATCTTTTGTTTTAATAAGAAATATTTTATAACAGATATGTAGAAGATTTTTCTCCTATTTGCCATTTCTGTGAATGTCTTACCTGTAAAAATCATACTAAGGCATATCTACATCATTTGTGTAATACCAAAGAAATGCTTAGCACAGTTCTTTTAATGATGTAAGTTCTAATCATATAGTAATATGATTTGTAAATAATAATTAATATTCTATAACGAGTATATATATATTGATTTATGATGAATTTTCAGACATAATCTACATCAATATTTCGAATTTTTCAAGATTATTCGAGAAAATATAAAAAATGGTACTCTTGACGATTACAAAAAGAAAATTAATTTAAAATTTAAACAAAACGATGTCGTTCAGACAGATCAATAAGATACAAAGTCTACATGTTTTTAATACAATTTTAAAAAAATATTAATATTTAATAATACTTTTTTAAAATAATAATAAATAATGATAGTTAATAATTATTTTTATATTTCTTTTTACAAATATATGATAAAATTTAATTAAATACAAATTTTATAAAATATTAATAATTATTCTGGTAAAAAATTAGGATCTAAGTAATTGTAAGAGGAATTACTGAAACTTTGTGGGAAATAATCCAAATCATAACTTCTAGTATATTGAGGTGGCTTAATAGGAAGTAATCTATGTAATGTATCATGTAATGGTTTTTCAGCTTCTAATTGTGCTACTGCACAATCACCACATAAATCAATTCCATCTTGACATTCTGTACAATGCCATCTTGTACCTGTCAAAGGATCTTCCCCACAAACTAAACACTATAAAAAAAAAAAAAAAGAAATTAATTTTTTTTTAATTTCTTCGTATGTTTTAAAAATATTTTATATGCATACTTTATATCCAACATGTTTGTATACAAAAGATGAATTTTGTTCTTTCTCAGCTTTTACTTGTTTCAATAATTCTATATGTCTTAATTCCGGATTATCATCAATAATACTATTTCCAGCATCATCTTCCTATAAGTATGAAGAATAAAAAAAACAATGCAAATTTTAAATTTTCATCAAATTATAAAATTGTTGCAACACATACAGATTCTTCTGTAATTGCCTGTTCTTTGCTTTCATCAGGCATTGTAAAAGACATATCTTGATGAGGAAAAAATGTAGAACGTCTGAACAGTGAATAGTTATTACGTTGATGTCTATGACCCATTCCTTTTTTAACATCCAATTTCATTTTGGGACCTCGACCAGGTATAGGTAATCCAGCTCTTAAAAGTTTAATGAAATATTTCTGGACTCTACTAGATACTTGTTTTGGAGTTCTATTACCTATTAAAAATTAAAATTAATCTATATATTAAACAAGAAAGATATTAAAAATGTACCTAAAGCATTAGCTATTTTGGTCCATCTTCTCATTTCTACATCTTCTGGTGGATATTCTATTAAAAGTTCCTCTAATCTTCTCTGTTCTTCTACTGTCCATAACTGATTAAAAGTCTCCGGTTTACTCTCATCAAAAGCACGTCCTCTCACTAAAATCTAATTATACATATTTATGTTAAATGTATAAATTTTATATATACATGTAAAATAAAATATTTATATCAAATATATATAAAGTGTAACATACTTTTCCATTCTCTTGTTCTGACTTTGTTTGTACATGAGGTAGAATATGTCCATGTCTTGTTTGAGGTCTCATACGCATATCAGGTGCAGCTATATTATATTGAGTCCAATCAATATAAGGAATTTCCGCAATTTTTTGTGATCCTGGTAATTCTGGCAGTTCACCATTTTGTATCTGTGCTACGAAAGATATTGGATCCTTCAATGCTTTGGAACGAATTGATAAAAGTTTATCCAAATCTTCTAAAGCTTGAACACGTTGAGCTTCAAGAATTACAATTGTTTTTAAAAGACTAGTATAATCTTTATTTCCTTTTAATGCTAAATGATCAGATTCGAAATAAAATTCATTTGGTTCTTCATCTTGACATTTTTTTTGTTCATCTTCCATTGCTAATTAATATTTATTATGTCCGATAGGTTATACATATATTCACTGTAACACGTTAACCTTAATTATCCGTCAAAATAATCCACACTAAAAAGAACATCAAATAAAATCGTTATTTATTCTAATATTATTTATTCTAATTATTACTCTATTTTCAATGATATGTGAATTTAATTTAAAATATGAATGATTAAACGCAAAAATTGCGAAAATATTTTCACGATGCGACTTTAAAACGCACATTCTTCATTCTGGACTCTAGACTCAACACGTCTTGCAAACATTATATTTATATATTATAATATTATATTATAAATTCAAACATTAAATATGTTATAGAAGAAATTGATGTTTTATATATATATATTTTTTAAATTTTGATTTATAATTATTATTAAAATAAATTATATTATTTTAGTATATTTGCATTTTAATTATATAAAAAAAAAATTCAAAAAAATATATAAACGATATATTTTACGAAATCATTTAATATATAATATATATAAATGAAAATATTGTAGCTTTAAAATATAAATCATAAAAAATTCACAATATTACAAAAATTTTTCTTTTTTTATAATATTTCTTCATTTCAAATAAATAATATGCTTTCATAGTTTGCGCAATCATTATTCATTACTCTTTTCAAAAATTTGCTTTATCTTTAGTCCAAATGTACTTTCGATAAAACGAGGAATAATACAAAGGATAATACAAAATAATCAACTTATATTAGTCATCGGTGAAAGAGCATAAATATAAAGAAAGCCAAAGAAGAACATAAATCGACAATATATTTCTTTCTATAATATTGCCATTATTTTATTAAAAATCGAATTCGAAAATATAAATTATCTTATCAAACATATTTCTTTGTAAAAAAACTTCATAACACTTCAAAATTTAAATGATTTCAAGGTGACGCATATTCAATTCTTATTTCAATACGAGATCGGTTAATTTTACGCTTTTTATAAGTTTATTAGTTATAAGATAACTATTAATTGATCGTAAAAATACATCTCGTACTTAACTAGAAACTACGATTTCTATTTCTGCGTTTTCGCCTTTATTCGTCTGTATTCGCAAAATTTTTCAAACTCTCCTAAGCCGCCCGGCTGATTGTCAAAGATATCGGTAACGATCAGGGTATGAAGTACTCTCTTATCAGGGGGACCATCGTGCGCCTGCAAAAATAAGCGACTAGCTGACCCGTTAACACTTCAGTCTCGTTCTGGACATCTTCCGATAACGTCATACTGTCTTCGATCCGGCTCTAAGACACGAGGAAGCCGATTCGTGTCTTCATTACACGGATTGTATGTAGAGCCTGATCGAAGGCGGTCTTAAAGTTGTGCGTCGTGCGCCTCGCGCGATGTACGTTTGAATTCAAAAATAAAAAAAAGTTCGTGGTACTGGTGAATTGGATAATAACGTGGTAATCGTTACTTGTCAAGAGTTCTAATCAAATATTGTGCAAAATGGAACAAGCCGAGAAAAAAGGAAATGAAAAAATTGCGCTAAAACGGGAGTTAGGCCTGTTCAGTGCAGTGGGCATGATCGTGGCTGTTATGATCGGTATGAAAACAATATTTGAAAAACAGGTGTTAAATTAATTTTACACGATGTAACAATTCGAGATTTCGTCTTAGTTAAGTCCAATTGAAAAATATTAAATAACAAGTGTTTTCTTCCGGCATAACGTTAGAGTACGTTATACAGGGTCAGCAAGCATGAATTATTGATTTTACATCTTTTACTTTTTTATTTTTTTCATTATTTATTTATTTATTTATTTACTTACTTATTTTTTTGCAAATATCATTTTAATCAATTTTATTCAACTTGTTAATGAACTCAGCAGATAATTGCCGAAGGCCAGAAATACGTAATGCATTATCAGCATCACATATGTTCCACTTTATTATGCTTACATAATGAAATTGTAATCCTTAAACATAACATGTTCGAACAATGAACTTATACTTAAATAGGATTTCATTGATAATTATCAACCTATTCTCTCGTGAAAATATATTTATATAATGATAAAAGACGTTTAACAATACTTCGCAATATTTAAAAATAAAATGTGTGAAAAGGTTTTAATCATGCTATTATATTTTATCAATATTTGACCTAAAAGTTATGTAAATATAAAATGTATTCGATACACAAATGGTTTATGCACAATTATTTAGTTCAATGCATATGTTATTGCGAGTGAAAGTATCCCTGCATTTGCGCAGATAATAGCAAGTCAATATCGGTACTGTTACATTCATTTGAGAGTTCATTTGAGAAACGATAACCAGAGCTACTGTTTAATTTTAGTAAATCGTATATTGTAAAACGTGCAATATTCTCTTGATTGGTTTTAACGATATTCTGATCTTTTCTGTCAATACTTGATATACGATTGATATAATATCATAAAAAATATGCTTTGTAGATAATGTTTCTTTATAAATCATATTTACACTTGGTTTAGACAATATTATCTAATAATAAATGATAATTGATCGTATTAAAATAAAAAAGAAAAGTCCAATAGAAATCTTTCTTAGTATCATATTTAGATTTAACAACACTTAAATGTAATTGCATTATTACATAGGCTTGAATAAACTTCGACTTTATACTTACGCAGATTATGTTCTTCAATAGAGATTCAAGACATCGTATTTTTTTTTATATTACCCTTTCAGTGATTGTATTCATTAGGGAGATTAAATCTCATTCGACAATTGTACATTTTCATTGTACAATTATACATTCAGCTATAATCATATACAATAATATACATTTCATTTAACTGGAAATTATTAAAATAAATATTAGATAGAAAAAAATATTTTGAGCAAAAGTCATGCTAATTATAAAACTTTTATCATCGAGAATGTTTTTCGAGAAAGTGCACAAGTGATCGGATGAGATTTCTCAAATAGTTCTCTAGATTATTCTGTTAGAATCGAATTAATGAAAATTGGTGGCAAATGTAAATAATATGCGCAATTGTTTTTAGAAATTAATTATTAATCTATAGAATTCTGTGCATAATAAAAAATAAAACGTGATGTAACATTTCGGTAATTATGCAGAAAACTTTGACACGATTATAAATTAAAGGGTTAATCAAGGTTAATTGCTGACCCACGCGCTCAAGTATTACGAGATATTTTCTTTAAGTATATCTAGTCAATTTAATCAAACTTTGCAGTCTAATTGCGAATAGCTTGCTTATTATTTATCTGTATATGTAGACTTACAAGATGATTTTTGCCATTAAGATCAAATAATATACGTCAAATAATATTTTTAGTTGTTTATTAAAAAGCTTAACACAGAATTTTTTACGTACGTGATCATTTTGTAACATAACATAAATTGAGTTTTGTTTTAATAATAAAGAAAAAAAATAATCACATTTCGAAAAACTGAAATATGAAATAAATAATGATATAAAAAGTAAAAACGATCACAATAACGGTATTTAAAGTTTTAATATATTTGCAATATCGCGATAATAAAAAAAATATTTTTTGAAGATATTACTAATTGCTTATATTTTTTTTAATAAATTGATAAAAGTTACGATGATAAGAGTTCATATTTTTTTTATATATTTTGTTTTTACAAATAAAACTCACGATCATTTTAATCAATTAATCATTTTTTCTTTAGGTTCCGGAATATTTGTATCCCCCACTAGCGCTCTCGAAAGATCAGGATCTGTCGGCCTTTGTCTGATCGTCTGGATTTCTTGTGGCTTATTATCTCTACTGGGAGCACTTGCGTTCGCCGAATTAAGTACAGTCGTTCCACGATCCGGAGCTGAATATGCTTATTTCATCGAAGCTTTTTCACCCCTGCATCACTATGCCGGCCAAATACCAGCATTTATATGTTCGTGGGTTTACGTAATGGTATTACGACCAACAGAAGTGGCGGTAATCATGTTGACATTCGCCGAGTACAGTGTACAACCGTTTTCTGGATATTTAGAAAATCTTTCTGAAGAATGGATGTTCAGATTAAAAAAACTTATAGCTATCCTAGCACTTGGCCTAATCACGTACATTAATTTAACCAGCGTAAAATTATACGTGAAAGTTCAAAATATATTTACCGTATGCAAAATAGTTGCGTGTATTTTCGTGATTTGCGGTGGAATATGGTGGTTATACACTGGTCATACGGAGTTATTGGAGAAACCGTTTCATGGTACTACAACTTCAGCAGGCAACGTGGCGCTAGCGTTCTATAGTGGATTATGGGCTTACGATGGATGGACTTCCGCTGCAATCGTCACGGAAGAGATTCAGAAACCGGAAATTAATATTCTCAGAAGTATTTTAATCGGTGTACCTTTGATCACTATTTTATACGTTTCGATGAATTTGATGTACATGGCTGCTCTAACGATACCTGAAATGGTAAGAGCGCCAGCTGTGGCAGTTCTCTGGGCGAAAAAAGTTTTACCCTCCTGGTTAGGCTTTGTGATACCTTTGGGTGTTGCAATATCTACTTTTGGATGTAGTCTTAGTATTCAATTCGGAGTATCCAGACTCTGCTATGTAGCCGGTCGTGAAGGCCACGTACCCAGAGTTTTCAGTTTCGTACATATCGAAAAAATGACTCCCGCTGCGGCAGTAGCGTTTCAAGGATTACTTACGCTACTTTATCTGCTCACGGGAGATATTATCGCACTTATCGAATTTGCAAGCTTTTTAACATGGGTATTTTATGGATTTGCCATGTTATCATTAATAATCATGCGGCGAACGAAACCAAATGCATCGAGACCATACGCGGTACCGATTGTAGTACCTTGGCTAATATTAGGAGTTTCTATTTTCTTGGCTGTAACACCAATCGTGCACGAACCAACACCGAAATACTTGTTTGCATTGTTATTTGTTCTTCTTGGCATTGTCGTTTATCATACGTACGTGTATAAAAAAATTAAAAGTAGTTTGGCAAGTAAGTATAAAAA